CATATTTTCCATAAGTGATCAAGTCTCTTGCATGTTGTCATATATTGATGTTTCAATTCTTTTGTTTGCGAGTTTCCAATGTTGGCTGTTGCATTATTTCTGTTATAATCTTTTCCTCCTATTAACCGTTCTCCTAGAGCTGAGCCTGGATGTAAGAAATCCTCTGGTCTTAACACTAGACCTATCTCCTCGGGATTCTGAATTGGAAGTGATTTCTGGTATTTTATTTCAAATATTTCTCATCATTTAACCTAATATTAGCAAATAATTTTTCCAAAGATATCTTAATGCAAATAATATCATTTAATATTTGCATTCTATATCGTTGAAAATGTTAAAATAAATTGTAAAATTGTGAAATTTTCTTTCATTTAACAATAAACAAAGTTAATTATTTCAAATTTTATGCATATTCTCCACATTTTTAGGTTCAACAAAGCGAACATTCCATGTAAATGCATTTGAAGATTTAAATGCTCGTTTACGAAGTGCAATTCAAAAAGTAACTTGTCCAGCCATTATTGCACCACCTGTTGGACCATCAATCTTTCAAGGTTTAATTTTTGCTTACTTTAATTTTTTATTTTCAAATTTTGAAATAACAACAAAAAATACAACCATTCATGTCTTCTTAAAACTTCCAATAAATTCGTCATTGGAACTATCATTAACTTAAACCTAACATTAACACAAGTACAAATAGGTAAATCTAAAACTTTGAAGAGATGAAATTAAGTTAAATATGATGAAAAGCATTGCAGATATTTCATTAATATTGTTTGTATTGTTTATAAAAATACATCATCGAACAAGATCTACCTCGCTATTGATATCCTTCTTATATGCCGCATTCGTTGCAGGCGCAGAAGGTAGGGAGCGGGTTATTTTATACCTTCGAAACTTTTGAGGCCCATCAACGAATCCTTACACTTTTTTGGGTGAAAGTCTTTTTTTTTTGTCCCATACGTTGGATACATTCTAAAGATAATGGACAGGTGAGTAAGTTTCAAGAAGAAGATAATTTACAGGGGCCTCAGAAGTTAAGGAACAATACCTTGTTAATTTTTCTTTTCGAAAACAGTATAAATTTTTTGAATAAATTGTTATGTTAATATCATAAAGCAAAAGCACTGCTAGCAAGGTTAAAGTTCATTTTAATCACTTTCTTTTCCCTGTTCAATCATACCTGATTTGTTCTAATTAACTAAAAATCTAAACATGAAATATAAATCTTTAATACTAACCATTTCATTTCCTTTATTCTCAAACTTCAATTTCATCAATACTAGCAATGGAATGAAATTGGATTGATTGTATTTGTTAACAGTGCTCTGATAAGCAATCAAATCTATTCGACAGATGGGAACTATGTTGAAAACTATAAAGCTGTATGTGTATATGTAAATGATGCTAACACCATTAGTTGGCTAATTTTGATAAAGCTTATTTTTTTACAAGTTCATCTTTTTGTGTTTTGTTAATTAAGAATGAATGATTGTATGATACAATAGATGGTTGTGTTTTTTGTCACCCGTTTAGTTGACATATTTTTGTTTATTTGAACATCTCTGCTAATGCTAACTGATCGAAGAGATTGCAGAATGCTGTGGCAAATTATTTTACTTTAATGCCTTTTGTTGTTCGTTTGGAATTTCGCCCAATCCATACTTAACATCATAAATATTAAATTTATCGTTTGTTTTATTAGATTAAGTGAAATTTTAAGGAATTTTAGAATTTAAAAATTAATTTTATTTTCAGAGAATTGCATTCTGCAAACTCATGCAGGATGTGATCGAACATTGAATCAGATATGTACATTGAAAAATGGAAAACCTTGTTGCGCTTGTCCGATGTCATTTGAACTACATCCAATTACACGGGTATAGATATATGATGGATAATAGGTATAAGTATAGGTATAGATATATGACATAGATACTCTTAAGCAAATATTTGTCACTACTGATGGTCCTACTTTGGCCAGCTTTTGATCATTTATGCAAATTAAAGCGTTTGAGGTTTTTGCAATTTGCGAGCTGCCATGTTTAATTCATCTACTGTGAATCTCACATGAACCAAATCAACAACTTGGCTAAGTGAGATTCTCATCCCGCCTTGAATATTCATTTGAATGATGTAACCTATCTTGGAAAGTTGTGGTAGATATAAAAGTCCTGAATTCCGGAAATCTTTCCAACAATAAATAATTTTTCATCAAGCAAATATCGTTGATAGCCTAAATTTTAATATCCTGCCTTTTTTTTAAGATTTGTGGTGGTGCTTTATGTAATCCACAACTTGTTTCCTCATGTCCAAGTCCTGAAATATGCCAGATGACACCATATGGGAACTATAGGTGTACGTGTCCACCTAACACTATACGTGATCAGAAGTCCGGTGCTTGCAGTAAGTCCTTCGGATAATTTTAATTTTCCTGAAATGGTATTTTTCCTGTAGCTTAAAGATACATGATAAGTAAAGATTTTTCAACAATTGTCTTATTTCAATCATTTAAGTTTAAAAAAAATTTTACATTGTCATCTGTTTTAGCAACTAAACATGTACCATCGATGCCTGGGATAATGCCAGATGAATGCGGACAAGGGAAACCGTGTCAGGAAAACGAGCATTGTGCCGTTTCATCATCCGGAAGACGAATCTGCCAATGTCTGTAAGTTCTTTCGCTGGATTGAAATCTTACAAAAATTTAGTGAAATTGATGCAGGGAGAAAAGAGAAAAAGTAATGGATAAATAGTAGTATAGATAGAATAGGTAATAAAAGTAAGTAATTAGGATAAGTAATGGAAAAGAACGACAGAGAGGAAAGTTTTTTACAAAACATTTGAAAGTTAATAAAGTGAAGTGCATTGATTTTTGGAATGAGATTTTTTATAAACTTGCCAGCGATATGTATGAGGACGTACGTCAACTTGCCACTAATACGTACGAGCAAGTATGCCAACGTTGTATGAACACGTGACATTTATGAGCACATATGTTAATTTGTCACATTTGAAATTTTTAACATCACCAGAAAATTTCAACTTGTATTTTCATTTATACGTCATCAATTTACTGATCCCTATGTAAAGTGAATATTTTAGGCCTGGTTATGTGGCTGGTCCAAGTGGTAAATGTCAAGCAAGTGGAACATGCCAGCCATATCTGCCAAATGCGTGTGATCAACGAAGAAATGAAGAATGCTTACCGGATGGTCATGGTGGATTCACTTGTCAATGTGCTGCCAATCAAATCCGTCATCCTGTCACCCAAATTTGTTGTAAGTTATAATTAAACCAAAATTGAATAATATCATTGGAAATGGAATAATGGAATGTTGAGAAATTTGACATAAAAGTATTAGTGGAATGATGATAAATGAAAGTAGCATAATATATATCGTAAGCATATTAAGCATTCTGAGGGTATTTTTGATTAATTAATTAATTAGCATTTATGAAATGGATGTTAGAAAAGTGGAATGTTAGTTGATGTATTGTTGTAGTGGTGGATGAATGCGCTACCGGAATGCATGATTGCGATGAGCATGCAAAATGCATCGATACAGATGAAGGATATATTTGTACATGCAAGGAAGGTTATATCGATGAAAGTCCAGATCAATCACGAAAACCTGGCAGAGTTTGTCGGCAACGTATGTGTTTGTGTGTTTCTGCTGTTGAATAATAAATAACAAAAATCGCGAGAACTTCAGGTTATCATACTATAGGTATTATCATACTACTCAGATTAGGTCAAATTATCATATTTGGAATAGGAACATTGAATTACTTCAGGTTATCATACTATAGGTGTTATCATACTACTCAGATTAGGTCAAATTATCATATTTGGAATAGGAACATTGAATTACTTCAGGTTATCAGTACTATAGGTGTTATCATACTACTCAGATTAGGTCAAATTATCATATTTGGAAT